ACCCAGGTAGTAAGTGTCTGAGGCTGCATTTGAACTCAAGTCTTCCTGACTCTAGGCCCAGCACTCTATCCACTTCACCACTAGCTACCCCCTAATTCTGTATACCATTTAAAATTAAAATTTAATTAAATTTAAAATTCTTTTCAGACTTGGTCTCTCTATCTCTCCCAAGTTTGGAAGTACATCAACCACTCACAATTTTATCACAATATGGATCAGTTTGGAAGCTTTAACCTGAGTGAAGGGAATTATTATTTTCATATTTATCAATATAATATGTATAATGAATACGTTAATAATTTAGATTTTTCAGGAAACTCTGTCTTGGGAGTCATAGACTTACAATGCAGCTTGAAATGATCAATCAAACCCTTGACAATGCTCTCATAATCACTGTATTCCTTCACCTGTGTATGTTAAGTGAAGAGAATCAAAGATTGTAGATTCCCATCATAGTACTCTGATCTTGTACCCCACTAAGTAATAACCCCTATACACTTGAAACAATACTGTTCCTGATGTGGTGCTTGGGTGCTTATGCCTGGGTGCTTGTACTTGGACCCCCAATTCTCCCTAGCCTCAGAAACACTATCCCTGACAGTTTGTCCCCAGCCCAAGGACCCTGTGCCTAGCAATTACTCATGAGTGGGCCCCAGCAAGACCCTTATCTCTCTCCCTGGTGCAGTTACAAACAGCACCTGAAGGAATTATTAGTTTGAACTGGCTTTGCACTGGGTCATAAAGACATTTTTACCCACTGGACTATCTCCTGCCACACTACCTCATTATCTACATCCTGGGCTCCTCATTAACTGTATTCTAGACTTATGACATATGTATACTCCCTACATCTATCTTGTCTAACAAGACATTGATTGGTGGCAGACTGGACAACTCTCAGTTACCCTGAACTCTAGTTAACTTAGTGAATAGCAGGCCTAAAACCACACCTCCATGTGGCCCCCCTTGTGGGCTTTTCCTAGTGAACTCTGTGTAAAACGCCTGAGCAGTAGGTACAAGAAGTGCATGTTCTTTTAAGAACTGACCACTCCTTAACCACTCCCTAATCCCACCCTGAATCCCCTAGTTAGCATATTTGGCACATGTTTTATTGTATTTTATCCTATATAAACTTTAACTGTACCTCTCTAAGGTTGCAGGATCCTTTAAGAATCCTTGCCCGCTGAAAAGTGTAACAATAAACTTTGCCACCTTGGCTTAAAGAATACATAAGTCTGTGAATTCATTCCAGATGACCCATGTACTTCAGTCTTTGAGGGGTCACAAACTCTCAACCTCTCAAACCGCAACATTCTCACAGGACACCAGTACACCTGTATTGTGGACTTGTGCATTTGTTGTGGGAAACCACTCAGGCCCTAGAAATAATTGTTTGTAATCCTTTCCCCAGCAACTTCCCCACTTGAGATTTATGTATAAGCTCTGTCTTTATAGCAGTCTAAGGAGTATACCCCTCTCTGAAACTGATTAATTAAACTGCTACTTGATTCCTGGAACTCCTGTCTCTAGGCCTGCTTTGTGTGACTCTGAATATTCCCAATTAGAGACTGTCCCAGTAAAATTCTGTTAACAGCTGCTCTGTTTTTCAACTTTGGTTGGGTTGACTCTTAGGCAGCCTAGTGGTCCTTTCCAGGGGCTTACCATAATGGTGCTGATGAGGTCTAGAGGTTTGGGGTGCTTTGAATGGGGGTCAGGATGGATCTTATATACACTAAAGTAACTTTGGGTGGCCAGGGAAGGGAATGGGAAAAGGGTCTGGGTGAGAATTCGTTTGGAATGTCTAAGAGATTGGATAGGCAATGGGAATAGATAATGAAGGGAACTGGAAGGTAGAAGTTTGAAAGGCATCTTCCTAAGATCAAAAGGTGGGGCTAGGGCTTTCAAAGGGAGATAAGGGGAGTTTTCTAGAGCCCATAGACAAAAGGGAGCCAAATTCTTTTTGGAGCAAAGGGCAAAGGTCTTGGCTTGGGCCCATATCCCACCAGTGCCAGACTTAATGTGGACATCTAATTGCTTTTAGCCCTACTGAAACTCAGAACTCCCAAACTCAATCGATTCACTAGCTGCAGCCCACCTATCAGCAAAAATTATACTTGCTGGATAAACATTTAATAAAGATATTGATTATAAGTTCAAGATTAGACAACAGTATGATATGACCATCAAAATGCCTAAAGTATGTAACCTGAGGTTGCATCAATAAAAATATGATGTTTATATCAGGGAGGCAATAATTCTGATGGTCAAAGCATATCTAGAGTACTTTTTAGGCCCAGACTTTAAGAGGGCTATCGATAAATTAGAGAATATCTAGAGGGAAGCAATATAGATAGTGAATGGTCTAGAAATTATACCATATGAACAACAGTTAAAGGAAATAATGATGTTGTACCAGAAGGGAAGATTGTAAGAGGATATGATAGCTATCCAAGTATTTGAAGAGCCATTGAGTGGAAGAGAGTAAACTTTTTTCCACATAGTTCATAGATAACTGATAGAGTTTTTAGGACTAAAATGATACATGAAGGTCATCTGTCTCCATCTGTTGGTGATCTCATCAGGATTCAATTTTATGTAGATTGATACCAAATCTACATATCCAGCTCTCATCTCTCTCCTGAACTCTATTTTTGCATTTTCAAAGGCTTGCTGGAATCTTCACTTGGATATACTATAAACATTTTACTCAATATACCCCAAATTAAACTAATTTTATTTCCCCTAAACCCACCCCACTTCCTTCTAACTTCTCTATTTTTGTTGAGGGCACCACCAATTTTCCACCAATCTTCCAAGGTTTGTAATCTTGAAGTCATTCATGAATCATTACTCTTTAACACTTACTTCAATTAGTTATCAAGTCTACCTTTTCTTCTGTCCATTCTCCTCTCTTTTCTCATACTCAGTCCTCATTACCTATGACCTGGCTTAGTGCAATAGCCTCTTAACTAATCTCCGGCCTCCAGACTCTCCCCTTTTTAATCTAGCTTCCTTTCATACAGCTGACATATTGATATTCTCTAAGTATAGTTCTGAATAAATCAATTCCCTGTTCAAAAAGCTTTAGTGGCTCTCTATTATTTCTAAAATAAAATATAAACTTCTGTTTGGCATTTTAAGTTCTTTACAATTTGGCTTCAGTCTATTTTTCCAGGTTGATTATAGATTATTCTCTTTTCAGGTCTGTGCTGGAACCAGTTTCAACCAGAAAGAGTTCATTATTAAATTTTCAGTGTGAAATTTTTTTTTGTCTTGAAAACTGGTAAACACTACAGATCAGGGCTTGATTTATTGCTTTGTTGATTGTCTAAACTTAAGAAAGTGATGGAGAAAATGTTAGTAATGCAGATTAAACTTAAAAGAGTGCATTTTTATTTTTTTGCATTTTTGGGAGGAGAACCAGTTGTTAAACATTTAGCAGCACATTTTCCATCAGTGTGCTTGCTGCAACCACCATACAAACTGACTTATGTGCCAATCCTTATATACAACATTCCTTTTCCCATCCATGTGCCTTTTGCCCAGACTATGTCTTATACCTTGAATGCTCTGCTTCTTAGAACCCTGTACTCCCGTGAAGATTCAGCTAAGTGCTACTTACTTCAGGAGGCCTTTCCTGATTGCTTATTTGTTAGTAACTCCTCCTACAATCCATTATAGTCGTATACTGTATATCCTGTTTACTTTTCTGTGAACATGTTGTCTCCCCCAGGTATAATGTAAACTAGCTCTATTTTCACTTTTGTATTTGTATCTCTTGTGCCGAGCACAATGCCTGGTGCTTAATAAATGCTTACTGATTTATTGATTGTCAACTGCCCCCCTCCTTTTTTTTTTTTTTTTTTTACAGATGAGGAAACCGAGATGCAGAGAAGTTAGATCATTGACTAACTTCATACAGCTAATAAGTGACAACTGGAATTTGAACTCTGGATGAAATGCAAAACTGAAAACAAAACCAAAAATAATAATTTCTATTTTCAGAACACCTAAGTAGTACAAGAACTTAAGTGATTATTTTATCAATCTTCCCTTTTCTTTGTGTAGTCTGGTAGATGTTATTACTGCCATCCCGGTTACAACTTTTCTGGGCCTCAGTTTCTTCATCTGTAAAATGAGAGTGGCAGAGTGGATAATTTCTAAGATCCCTTATACCTCTAGATCTATATTCCCAAGGTTCTCTTTGGAAAAATTTAGAAGTATCCCTGTCTGGAGAAAAAAAGAGACAGTGTGGTTACAGAAGGTCTCTGATTCTACAGATTTAATCTGAAGGTCCTTAAGCTTTGTGAGGAGGGCGAAAGAGCATCTTCTAAGGCCAGTGGCTGTACCTGTTCTACCTACCAGTAGTTGCCAGTAATCCCTCCCTTTGAGGACAACATTCAGTCCAACCTAGTACATAACACTCCACCCCGCACTCCTTCCGCAACACTCTCCATCCTGCCTACCTAATACAAGAACCCCTGCAGAAAAGTGCTTGGGAGGGGAGGGATCTTGAAGAAGGGCGAGGAAAGATGGGGGAGGCGGAGGACTCCGAGGCTGGCAGCAGTGCTTTTCTGGGCAGCATCCTCCCTGCTAGCCGCTCGGCCGCTACTTAAAGGTAGACTACTCACCGCCCAGGCTGCTGCAGGGGCCAGCGAGCCCAGACAGAGGTGGAGAGGAGAACGGGCGGGGATGGAGGGGAAAAGAAGGCGCATTGGGGGCCGAAGGAAAGAGGGAGGAGACAGAGGCGGGGAGAAGGAGGTGACTCCTGGCCAGTGACGCCTGGAGAGAGGCGCAGAATTGGAAGCCAGGCTGGCTTCACTGTTGACGTTGCAGGCGCTCCTCTGGCCAGTCCAGGGTTTGAGCGCGGCTGCTGTGGTGATTCTTGTACGGGAATCGGTCCCTTCTTCCCTCCTCCTCCTCTTCTTCCACCTCCTTTCCTGAATCTCCCTCAAGAAACAAACCACCTCTGCTGGCTTCTTCCCCCTCCAGAGCCAAGGCAGCAGGCTCGCTATGGCTTCAGGTCCCCCTGGTGTAGTTGCCGCCGCCGCTGCTGCTGCTGCTGACTCAACACAATTGGAAGGTGTGGGGGGTGAAGCGTAGACAGGGAGAGGAGGGCGGACCAAAGCAGCCCCCGGATTAATATTGGTTGGGAGGTAGAAGATGCCAGGACACTGGAGGGCGAGCAAGCCTGCTACTGAAGTAGGCGGTGGCGGAGGCAGCCTACAGAACAGTCGCTAAGGAGAGAAGTGCATCTCTGTCCTCTCTCTTTCTCTCCGTCTCTCTCTTCTTTAGGCCGCGGTGGTGTAGGCAAGAGGCGAATTCTACGCTAAGTGGCGGCGGCAGAGGCAGCGGCGGCAGCAGAGGCAGCAGCAGCAGCAGCAGCAGCAGCAGCAGCAGCAGCAGCAGCGACAGCCTGGAGCTGAATGCTGCAAGCGCCGGATGACTCCAGCTGCTTCCTTTCTCGGTGCAATCGGCATCGTTCACAGCCACTGCTGGAGGGAAGTGTCGGTGCGTGGAGAGAAGCATCACTGTCTGAGTGAAATTGCTTGGAAAGCTCTCTCTCTCCCTCCCTCCCTTCCCCAACCTGGAGGCAAGAGCTTGGCGTTTGGCCGCCGCACTGGTGGTAAGTTGACATGGGGCTGCAGTATGCGTCTGGCGCTGTGAATAATCGTGGTTGAGCACCCATGGTTGTGTTTGCTTCTATGTAGAGTTGCTCTCGGGTGCTCACCAATGGTCTGCACCTCAGAGGGAGCCGAAAGCAGGTACAGGAGAAGGATGAAGAGACTGCTTTGTTTCTCCCCGCTGTTAGGTCACTGGTTTGACATTTCTGCTCACAGGAGCCCAGAATTAGCGTGAGAGCGGTTGTGTACCTATTTTACTGGTTTTGTTATGCCATTGGCCCAGATCTGTGTTAGGAGCTTTGGGAGCAGGGGCTGTCTCACTTAGCGTTTGGAAGGTGTTAACATTCTTGTCTAGGGCCTGAAGGGACCTGGAACTGCAGATTTAGAGGAGACGTTTCCTGCAATGTGCAGCCGCAGCTGTCGGGTTCCTCCATCCCTCGACTCTTCCAGAGCTGGATGGTCTCCCCTTATTAATACCTCCCAGGAGGCTTTGTGACTTTTTTCCGCTCCTTTCTTCCCTCTCAATCCCTCCCACCCCTTCCTAAGAAAAGATTCTTTCAAAAACATTTTTCCTTCCCCCTGTCTTTTCATGTTTCGTTGCCTTTGTAGTAAATACAGGGACCTTATTGTTGGAGCTTTAAAAAGGGTTAAGTCAATATTAAACTTTTAGAAGATGACAAATGATTACTGGCAGGCAGGCAGGTAGTGAGGGGAAGCAACAGAGGAGGTATGTAACCTGGTACATAGTTCCAGCTGAAGAATTCTGCTGTTTGCTTTCATTGCCTTACACTGATGCAAATATTGTGTCCAGAATTCTTAGTTACAAGCCTCTTACCATTGGCTGAAGCTTGTTTTTCTCAAGTAACTTCCTTTGATTTCTGTGCCTTTAAGTGACCAGATCGGTTTAATTAATGAAAGCTGCACCAGACCTTTGTGAAATTTCACATGTTCATTTTATTTGTCTTGGAAATGTGGCCATTCCTCTCTGTCTCTCTCTCTCTCTGTCTCTCTCTCTCTCTGTCTCTGTCTCTCTCTGTCTCTCTGTCTCTCTGTGTCTCTCTCTCTGTCTCTCTGTCTCTGTCTCTGTCTCTCTCTCTCTCTCTCTCTCTCTCTCTCTCTCTCTCTCTCTCTCTCTCTCTCTCTCTTTCTCTCTCTCTCTGTCTCTCTCTCTCTCTCTAATATTCCTGTCATTCCCTCAAGGATTTATTCCTCCTGTTGCTTAGAGAGAGATTTTTTTTTCTTCTCCTGATTTCTCTAGTCTCCTTTCAACAGATGGCTTTACAAGAGATTCCCTTTGAAATAATTTAAAAGATTATTTTAATTTTAAAACACATGTACATTCACACCAGAAGGGTTCTTATGACTTTAGAGTTAGTCAAACCAGGGGCCTGTTCTGGAAGGGAATATTAGTTGTGTGAAAATTTGGAGCTTGGTTAATCTGTGGGATCATCAGAAGCTGCTTGCAGGGCTTGTTTATAAATGAAATTGAGACAGATGTCTTTTCTTGTCTGCTAGGGATGCCATGCATAAGGAGTCATTGTATTTGTGAGAAATTTCCACTTAACTGTTAAGAAAAAATAAAGCAATTGTTTGGCCTCTCAAAGGAGACACTGTATCTTTAACACCTTATAGCCTATCAAATTAATTTCTTCCCCTCTTTGATCATTTTAAAACCCATCATTAAGCTAGTTGCTTTTCTTTTCTTATTGTTTCTGGACTAGTACTTATATCTCCAAAGACACTGACTCCTTTCGTTTAAAAGAGGTGGAACATTTAAAATGCATGCATAGGTCATATGTATGTATATGTAACACATGTGGATATATAAATATTTTTCTGCATTTGCATTTTTTATACCACTTAAGGGGAAAAACACACCCATATCTTAGATTTGATTTAAAAAACCCACAACTTGGAAGAATTAACTCAGAGTTGGAAGGGATCTTAGAGAGCCCCTAGTTCCATGTTTTCCAAACTATGTTGTAATAAAATTTGGTACTCTGCATTGATGTGAAAAAAGGTATTGTGAGAAAATTTCATGTGCTATTACCTTTCTTCCAACTGCTCTTTTTTTTTTTTTTTGGTGATGGTGGGAATGTCAAGACATGTGGTTTCAGCAGTGTAGGGAAGTCTCTCCATCCATGCAGATCAGTAACTCATCTGTAACTTCTAGACTCAGAGTGTTTCCAGGGTCACCAAGAGGGTTAGTAACTCTCTTTGGTTACATAGCTAAAAAAAGGTGAAAGAAAGGACTGGGTATTATGAGACCAGACATGTATCAAAAATACTTATTGCTTGGAGTAAAATTTTGCTGTGGAAATACACTGTTTCCTCTTTGCTCCAAGATTCCCCTGACCACTTTTTATCCCCAAGGCCAGTACTTAGGGGTTGTGGTAATATATTTCAAGCCCCAAATGTTGTGTGGCCAATTTGCTTTATGGAAAGCTGCCCTAGTTTAGTGTTTCCCTTGGATGTTCACATAAATATTGATTGACTTTTCTATGACAGAGTTTTTACCCAGTCATCCAGAAATAGTTAGGCTTATAAAAACTTGGGCAACATTATCTTTGGGAATGATTTTGTGTGTGTGTGTGTGTGTGTGTGTGTGTGTGTGTGTGTGTGTGTGTGTGTGTGTGTATAATATGAAGGCATGGGCATCCTTAGATGTGTGACCTTGGACAAGTAACCATTGGGAGAAAAACACTTAGTAAATTGTGAAAGATTATGTAAATGTAAGAGATTTGTGGTTGTCACCAAAATGCCTTTCTCTAGGCCTTACTTCAAAGATTACTTGCTGTGGAGTCAGGGGACTGGTTTCAAAGCCCATTTCTTTTATTTACTTTCTGTGTGATCTTGGGTAAGTCATTTAACCTCTCTGTGCCTCAGTTCCCTTATTTGTAAAATGAAAGAGTTGGACTACATTGTCTTTTAGATCCTTCGTAGCCTCTCTAACATTGAGAGATTCGAAGGAACATGCCAACATACTCTTTCTAATTCCCTCCCTTGCCTAGGTTGCAGAGAGCATTTGTGTGTCCTGTAATGACAAGTAGATTACAAAATTGATTGTCCCAATTTAGAAAGTACTTTTGATAATAACTCCTCTTGTGAACTGGTAGGAAAAATATTATTGCAAAGTAACTGCCTGGTGTGCACAGGTCTACATTTAACTGGGACTAAGAGCAATGCCTGACACCTCAGAAGAAGGGGGAAGGATTTTTTTTTAAAGTGTTAACTACGTTTAACTCAGGCTGGGTGCCATTGGGTTAAAAACCATACCTGTTCGTTCTTTTAGATTTTAAAATCCTCCTTTACACCTACCTCAGCAAAAGGCAAAGAGAAACTGATGCTGTTATTTTAATTTCAGTCCAACTGTGATAGCTTTTGACTTTTTCTTTTGGCATCTACCCAGAATAAATGCTTCTGCAAAGAGCTTCTGCCTGATTTCAAGGCATGCCAGGCCACTCGATTCTGCAAGGTTGACAGCTAGGAAAGAATGAACTTGCAGAATCGATTTTACTTGGTAGGTAGGTTTGTGGATGATATCTGTTTTCCCTCTCCCCCATTTTCAAAGTGTCCTCAGGAGAGTGTGCCTTCAAGAGAGAGGGGACTTTCTCAGTAAGGCTTGCTAGGACTCTAGGCCAGAATGTTCCATTCTGCTGCCAGCTTTCCTGAGAAGAAATGGAACTAGTTTGCCATCATTCATTTGAGAGGAAATGGTAATGTTGAATAAAGAACCTTCCAAGTCAGGTAAGGTAGTTCTGGCTTATGAGAAGAAATGGACCACATATGGGACTTGATTGTAAGCTCATATAAAGACCCAGGAACTAGAACTAGTAGAGACAGAAGCCAAAGCGTGGTGAAAATTAAGCAGAAGATCCTTTTTGAAGGATGTAGTTTGAAAATTTAAATTATTTCACCTTAATATTTTGACTCCAGCATCAAATCAATCTTTGTATTAAATCAAAAGACAAGTCAGAAATCAAGTAGAATACAGAAATACTGATTATTGGGGAAAACAAGATTCTTCTGTGAGAGCTTGAGCTCCTTGAGGACAGGGTATGTCATTTCTCTGTCCCTTTTGTGTGACTCTCTTCATAGTAGGTGCTCAGTGAGCATTCTTTGAGCTTAATTCTATTTGAGATCTAATCATAGATACATATAACAGGAGGCTGGTGACAATGTCTTCACTGTCAGACAAAAGCCCTAGCATTCCCCTTACTTGTCCTGACCCTGAGAGGGACTGGAGCCAGAGCATGTCCAACAATGTAGTCTCCTTCTGCTCCAAAGGGACAGGGAAGGTAAAATCCCATGTGAGAATGGATGGAGAAGAGAAAAGAATAAGAATTTATTAAATGTCTGCTATGTACTGTGCTAGAAACACACTTGAGAGCATATGTCTGGGGCTACCCATGCGAGCATGAAGAATGGGCATGTAGCATTCTTGGCAGGAAAGCAGAAGGGCTACTACTGTTGCTGCAACAAGAAGCTATATATGCTGGGAACCAAGAGGGACACCCATAGGAATCAGGAAGGCAGAGTGCTAGGCTATGTAGGACAAGAATTGTGTGACTGAGCCGTTTACCAGAAGCATGCAGCAGGCACAGGGTTTGTTGAAACTGTTCAAGCTGCTGAGACCCAGGCTGATGATTTTTTCATGCTCCTCCTCTCCCTTCTACTTTGTTTCTCTTCCCATGAAAGGTGCTATGCTTGTTCCCCAAATCTCCATTTCTTAAGAGTTTTCTTTGTTTCTCTTTTTGATTTTAAAACTTATTTTTCTAAGATAAATGTAGTTAGATTGGGTTAATTTTAAGAACAATAATAGAGAGGGGCATCTTGGAGGGGAAGAATGAGAGAAGAGAGAGAGAGAGAGAGAGAGAGAGAGAGAGAGAGAGAGAGAGAGAATGAGAGGAAGTAAGGAGGAAGGAAGGGGGAGAGAGAGAGAAAGAGAGAGAGAAGGAAGGGCAGGGGGATGAAGAGAGACATTTTACAGCAGTAACATACA